ATTTAGCGAGAGGTGACTCAATTATCTCCCAGACACAGAGACACCAGGGAGTGACTACTTATGTGAACAATGGAGACCCCCTGGTGGGGTTCTGTGTATGAAAGACCAGCTTTTCCCATTAAACTTTGTCATTGTCCCAACATCAAGTGTTGTCTGTTGTATGGGGGGGGGTGGGGAAGAGTTATACCACTAAACAGCTCTTTCTTCCAGCTCAAGGGATATTCCAGTGATGATACCCAGCCAGATTTGGCTTTCAGAGAGATCTTTCTGGGGATGTATGGCATGTGGGGGTGCTTCCCCGTATTATGTATATTTTCTGGGGGGTTTTGTGTTCGACTTTCTGTGTCCGGAAAATAATTAGTTTAACCGACACCTGACACAATTATCTCCTAAACACGGAGATGCTTAGGTGGGCTGATATTGCTTTAAATGGAGACCCCTGCTGGGGGTCTGTGTATAAATTCAGTGTGCCTTGCCTTAATAAAACAATTCTTCTTCACCATTCACTAAGTCTCGACTAGTGTTTGGGTAAGGTAGCGGTATCCTGTGTAGGAGTGTACTCTGGATCTATTGACAACTGGGAAGGGACTACCTAGACCGAAAGTAACCCAACTTCTCGAGGGTATACTGCCACAACCACCACACCATCCGAGACAGTTACCCTAGGGAACAGCCCGTTCAATTTGTCCACTATTTTGCACTATCCTCCTGATTTGTTTTTAGTCGGGGTACTGGGTTTAAGCCAATACGACAGGATCAAAGCATTTGCCTCATTCAATAAATAACTCAGCAATGTCTGTTTGTTATTCTCCTTAAAGGAAGCTGGCCATCCCAAGAGAATCTTGGATGGGGGTAATTGATCAAGCATTATTACAATTTTATAAATAACACTCAATACTTGTAGCCAGTAGCTCCTAATAAGTTTGCACTCCCACCATATATGTCCCATATTCGCCCCCCTCTCGCCACATCTCCAGCAGCCATCCGAGGCTGGTAAACCGTATTTTTTAAGTCAATCTAGTAACTCTTTAAAAAAATATAATTTTCCTAGGAGTGCTCATCTGGGCTTTCATCCCCATTTTGAACACAAATGACCAATCGTTGCTGGTCATTTGAATGTTCAAGCCTTGCATCAATTGGAATGAAGGAACAGTCTTATCCATAGCTCCCCTATGAATTAGACTATATATACTGGACAGATACCGTTTTTTCTCTACCCCAGGACCACAAAGTGACTCAAACTCTGTTCTATCTCTCGTCTGCCAATATGGTAACACTTTTTGGTTTAAGAAAGACTTTAAATACATGATACCCATTCTATCTATAAGAGCTGTAGTATTGTCCCAGGAAGGGAACACTCTTAACCTAATGGGTGTTCCATCTGTTATTAAACTTGTTAATAAAGGATCTGCTTCTCCTGTTAACTTTTTCAGTAGTTTGTGGCCCGGCTCAAACTTGAAATCCAAATTAGATGCTATTGGGAAAAATACAGATAATCCCGGCGATAACCCCTATCTATCTTTAAGCCTTCTCCAAATCTTTATTGTGTGGTTTATAATTAGATGTTTAGAGGGTGATAGTAAATGTAGGGTCTCCAACTTAACCTTTATAAAACCCTGTTCTATCTTATACCATGGCTTTTTCATATCTATAGCTGTCCATTCTCTAATTTGCGTACATAATACCGCGACATAGTATCTATAGGTATGTGGGAGGCCCAAGCCACCTCTCTCAACTGGTAATGTCAATATATTATACGCAATACGAGGAGTTTTATTATTCCATATAAATTAAAGAAATGTAAATCGCAGTTTCCTAAACAAGTCTCTTGGCAGTGAAACAGGCAATGTCTGAAATAGGTATAATACCTTAGGTAGTATCATTTGTATGATATTTACTCTCTTGATCAATGAAAAAGAGGTCTGGTTCCATTTTTTTAGATCTTTTTCAATCTTTCTCAAAAATTTTCCATAATTCAGTTTAAATAAATCTTTTAAATGTACCGTCAGTTGTGTCCCTAGGTATGTTATACTAGTATCTGTCCACTTATATTTATAAAGGTTTTGTAGTTTCTCTTTAATTCCTATATTTATCCCCACTCCCAGTATTTCAGACTTATCTGCATTTACTTTAAAATTAGATAAGCCACCAAATTTCTCCAATTCTTCTTGAACATAAGGAAATGTATATCGGGGTTCTATGAGCATGAATAAAACATCATCCGCAAAAGCGGTTACTTTTACCTCTCCTCCCGTATACTTATATCCTTTAATGTCAGTGTTCTTTCATATGGCTTCTAAGAAAGGTTCAAATGCTAAAACAAAAAGAAGAGGGGACAATGGACAACCCTGACGGGTGCCGTTGCTAAAAAAAAAAAAAAGGGTTGGAAAGTGACCATTAACACGGACATTGGCTGACGGACCTCTATACAATGTCTGTACCCAGTTGCAAAATCTCGGACCAAGCCCCCATGCCTCTAGAATTGCGAGCAGATAGAACCGATCCACCCTGTCAAAGGCCTTCTCAGCATCTATAGTTAACAAAGCTGTAGGACATTTATTTGTTATAGCTCCATTACATTCAAGATTTTAGTAGTATTGTCTCTGACTTCATGGCCAGTCTTTGATCTCAATAGGAGGGACCCCCAGAGCTTGTAAGAAATGTGGTATATCTGCTGGTGTCTTTATCGTGTGCATTTTGGAGTGTTGAAAAACCATCAGTGCAAATGGGTAGTTCCACCGATATTTTATTTGTTTCTGTCCCAGTAGAAGAGTGATCGGTCTCAAAGCCTTATGTGCCATTAAGGTAGAAGGTGAAAGATCTTGAAAAATAGCAATAGAATGTTCATCGAATTTAATTTCCTTCATTAGTCGGGCTTTCCATACTCTCTCTTCTTTTAATAAAAAGTCATGGATGCAGCAGATTAAATCTCAAGGATTTTCTTGTGGTGAATTCCTTGGTCTTCCTATTCTATGTGCTCTATCAAGCTTGATCTTAGAGTCCGAGGTTCTTCCTAAAATTTGACTGAAAATACCAATAAGAATGTTTGTTGGGTCTTCTAGTTCATCCTCCATGGTTTCAGGGACCCCTCTTATCTGTAGAGTATTTTGTCTTCCCCGATTATCGATATCATCTAGTTTCCTTTGTAAGGAAAGAATAGCTTCAGTCTGCGATCTTTGTAATTTCTAACTTTCAGTCCAATGATTTTCATTTATTTCGTGATTATCTTCCAATGCACAAACCCTATCTCCTAAATGATGTATTTCTGAGGTGACAGCTTTTAATTTTTCACCAAAACTATCTTCAATTTTTTTAAACATATCAATCAAATCCAATTTAGAAGGTAGTTGTGCCAGGATTGTTCTAAGATCTGGGCCTTCTGTTGATCCCTGTGACATCGTGGGGCCTACTGATGAACTTAGGGGTTCAAAAACTGGAAATGCCCCTTTCTCAATATGGTCATATTCCTGGTCTATTCGGTCTGTACATAGTCTTTGTGGCGATGAATTTGGTATAGCGGATTTAAGTCCTACGGCAGTTGTCGCTATCTGACTTTTTTCTGGGTCCCATTGTTTCTCAAATAAGTCTAGGTGTGCAATCTTCCCCAGACCTTTGCAATACAGAAGTAATAAAACTTGGTGTTTAGGTAATACAGTTTGGTAATTTAAGTCCTTATAGCTCCAGCTGTACTTAAGAGGTAACTCAGGGCTATTGACTTCAGGTTCTTCAAGCTATGTGCTTCAAGACCCTGTTCAATATTACCCACTTCCTCGTTTGCAGGTCTAATAGATGCTCCCTATAGTTTGGATGATCCTCAGAAGATCTCCAAGCACCACTCGGCTTCTAATCTAACTGCACTGTCTCTTAGCATATCCTAGTCGTTAAAGTAGCTCAATTAAGCTGACTAATAGCTGGTTATTGCTAGCTTATATAGAGAGAGAGAGAAAGAAAAAAAATAGTGAACTTGAGTCACGCCAGAATTTATTAGTCATTAATCAAGAGCGTGAAGCCGTAATTAATAGTGGTCGCAGCTGCAAGGATTACCCAGAGAAGTCTACGAAGTAAACAAAACTATATACCTCCTTCCAAAAAAAAAAAAAAAAAAAAAAGAAGGAAAGATAAAGAGGCAAAAAATCACTGTGTTCCCACTTTTCTTTTCCTCTTCAATGAAAGCCCTTCCTTCCTTTAACCCTTCTAGGTATGGAGGCCATTAAGCAGCAAATATTATGCAATTCAATGCTATCAGCTCCGGTATCAAATGCACTTTTGTAGCAATATTGACACCAGTAAGAATATAATTCTTATATTGATGTTAACTCTGGTATCGGTGTTGACTGTCAAATCACTCCAATATCTCCTGTGACACTCTAATATCTCAATTCAATATTGAGTATGCAGTGTTACAATATTTCAATATTCAGTATTTCAGTTTCAATTTCAATACTCAGTAACCACTATTCAATGTATCAAATCAGGTACAAAGGTACTAAATGAATACGATAGTAAGTAAGCATAATCAGCCCTTATACTGAATATACCCTTATATACTCCGTGCTCTAAGGCAGAACCTGAGGAGGGGGGATAACACAAAGTGCGACGTATTGTCGCCACCTTGTGGCAATTTGTGGAATTTCCCTGTGAAGCTGAGCCAGAGAGAAGCGCGATTTCCCTGTGATTAGTTATTGTTCCCTGAGGACCGGTCTCCTGACCAGTGACATAGCATTGGCCAAATCAAGGAGCGGTTTGTCTTTTCTGAATCCTGCTCCCACCACAGCTATAAATGCACTACACGCTTTAGTGGCCAAACTTCCAAGGTGGCTACTTGGGACCCACAAGTTCCATAACAAGACAGTTTGTGCAATATGTGAGATTCACTAAACCGTGAATACTGAGAGCAGTAGAGATAATAGCGGGTTTATCAGGAGGATTAGAGCTCTGACAGACAGTGTGGGTGGCTCTTATATGAGCCTTTGGGTTTATAGCAAAGTAGAAGAATGTGATTACTTGGCGCTGGTGTACTTGGTGACAGCCTTGGTGCCCTCGGACACGGCGTGCTTTGCCAGCTCTCCGGGTAGCAGCAGGCGCACGGTGGTCTGGATCTCCCGGGAGGTGATGGTAGAGCGCTTGTTGTAGTGAGCCAGGCGAGAGGCTTCGCCTGCGATGCGCTCAAAGATGTCATTGACAAAGGAGTTCATGATCCCCATGGCCTTGGAGGAGATACCGGTGTCGGGATGGACCTGCTTCAGCACCTTGTACACGTAGATGGCATAGCTCTCCTTCCTTGTCTTCCTACGCTTCCTACGCTTCTTACCATCTTTCTTCTAGGTCTTGGTCACGGCTTTCTTAGAGCCTTTCTTGGCGGCTGGTGCGGACTTGGCTGGATCAGGCATGATCTACGCTGCTTGTTGGAAATACTATGTCACTCTGCGCGCTCCGGCAGCTCTATTTATAGGCAAGCCATGCAAATTAAGCCCTTCTGCTTCCCGTGATGGGATTGGTCACTGCAGACAGGTGACATAACGATGTCATAGTTTCAACAATTGATTGGTTGGGGGGGGGGGGAGTTTTTATTATTAACAGCGACATTCTAGAACCAACATGTCTGGCCGTGGAAAGCAAGGAGGAAAGAACCGTGCAAAGGCGAAGACTCGCTCATCCCGAGCAGGCCTTCAGTTCCCAGTCGGCAGAGTCCATCGTCTGCTGAGGAAGGGGAATTATGCAGAGCGTGTGGGAGCCGGTGCCCCCGTCTATCTGGCTGCAGTGCTGGAGTACCTGACCGCTGAGATCCTGGAACTGGCAGGGAATGCCGCTAGAGACAACAAGAAAACCCGCATCATTCCCGCCATCTCCAGCTCGCTGTCCGTAACGACGAAGAGCTCAAAAAACTGCTGGGAGGAGTGACTATCGCCCAGGGAGGTGTCCTGCCCAACATCCAGGCTGTTCTGCTGCCCAAGAAGACCGAGAGCCACAAGTCAACCAAGAGCAAGTAAATCATCGAACACCAATTCTTCATACCCAAAGGCTCTTTTAAGAGCCACCCACTATTTCCGAACTGAGCTGAATGATCTTACCACCGACTCTGCACCGTTAACTGGTCAAATGGTCAAAAAAATGAACATATATACCACCCGTCTCATGCTGGGTTCAACCACTGAATGTTAACAATGAGAAATACTGTGTAATCTAGTATGGAAAGACAGAGAGGGTTATTTAAGCTTGGGGCAGATATGTTGCTAGTGCAGTTTTTTTTTGTTTTTTTTAAAGCAAATTTTACTTTTGAGCTCCGTGCCTGCAATTCTCACTTTATAGAGGATTATTCACTAAATAGCTCCTCTATTAAGTCAGCTATTGCTACCTGTCAGGGTATTTATATCGGCAGACATCTTGTGCTATGATAGAAATTAAAAGTGTATATTCTGAGTCACTTTGAACAGAGCAGACTCCATTTTGTTATTTTCAAGTTAACAAAAAGACACAAGATTTCTATCTGTAAAACTAACCACGTTCCCAGAGCTAAAGGAATGCATAGTATATACAAACCAAGTGATAAGGAGAACGGGGGTTGGATAGACTGTCTAAAATGCTAATGGAATAGATCATTCTAAACCCAGACAATTGTGACAGAGAAGATTAAATAATAAAATTTTACTGTCTATAGGTATAAGGTCCCATTGTAAGTTACGGGTCAAAACTCAGAATTTGCCAGACACATAGTCTGGACAAAACTTAAAGAAACTGTTTGATCTGAAAGGAAACATAAGTTATGGCCACTATCAAGATAGGCCAAAATGACGTCAAAATAGCCACCAGGAAAAGTTAACTCTTTCCTGGATAGGTATGTTTAGTGGGACAAGACTGCCCTCTATAGACCAAATACCTAAATTGCGATCTGAAAGATAACCACACCTCTAGTGCTTCTATTGGGTTATCAACTGATGACGTACAGAGAGTCTGGCCCTTTAAAAGTTAGGACAAAGGGAGAAAAGGGTATGCAAAGAAAGCAAAGAAGTGAGCAGTCGGGAGTAATGACACTCTAGGACACTATTACCTACACACCTCCATGCAGAGAGACATCCAAATAAGTTCCTGAGACTATCTACCAATCGGATGAAATATCTACTCAACTGGTAATTATACTGGTTTCATTTAATTAATTTAAATTAATTAAAATGTACTATTAGCATGAGATACGACTGGATAAATCACGGTCAGATTTCCATATTAAGAAATCTTAGTTAACTAAAGAATATATAGTTATAAAAATTCCATTCTGCAGGTGGAATTAAGAATAATTATATATATATTTTAGACAAATTAAATTCTGCTTATATAATCATGGTAGATTCTCTTATTGGATGGTTCCAGGAAATGACTAATGAACTGATTTAAATGTTATTTTATTTAAAATTACATAAGAATAGATCTTAATTACCTAGGAGATCTAGACAGCATTGAAAGGGTTATTCTAACTGTTAGCAAGGGTTTTATGGCCCTTCGCTGTGAAAAGTTTCGCTTTCTCTCTGTGAAAGATAGTCATAAATCGTCAAAAGTCTTGACAGAAAATGCTGTTTAGACAGTGAAACGTGTATAGCCATTCCTTTGTATTGCATATCATTTTATACTGGATATTCATTGATTATTGTCACGCATGTTACATATTAATTAATTTATTATAAAATCTATTTTTATAACATTGTGATATTATTTATATGGTATACATTTCACTTAACACGATAAACGTTCTTTGGGATCTGAGAATTGAATTAGTGGGCGATTCTCACTGTTTATTATCCCATAAATATCCCCACATACCGTTCGAGTAACTGAAAGCACTCATGGCAGTTCCTGTGTTTAGGATTATATTTACATGTGTAAAAGGGCTGCGTGGAGGGGGAGGATTTAGGCTCATTCGAGTGCAGATTTGGTGGCTCTTAAAAGAGCCTTTGTGGTGTTTGTGTGAGCAGTTTAAAAGCTTAAGCTCTCTCTCCTCGGATCCTACGCGCCAGCTGGATGTCTTTAGGCATGATGGTGACCCTCTTGGCGTGAATGGCACACAAGTTGGTATCCTCAAAGAGACCCACCAGGTAAGCCTCACTAGCCTCTTGCAGAGCCATGACAGCAGAGCTCTGGAAGCGCAGATCAGTCTTGAAATCCTGAGCGATCTCCCGAACAAGGCGCTGGAAGGGCAGCTTGCGGATGAGCAGCTCGGTGGACTTCTGATAACGGCGGATCTCCCGGAGAGCCACAGTTCCCGGCCGGTAACGGTGAGGCTTCTTCACTCCGCTGGTAGCTGGGGCGCTCTTCCTGGCAGCTTTAGTGGCTAGCTGCTTGCCTCCGGTGGATTTACGGGCGGTCTGCTTAGTTCTGGCCATCTCTTCGCGATCACGAAAATTAAAAATCGAATGAAAAACAAAGAGCCGCAGCCTTCTATTTATAGGCCGCTGGACGCATTCTGATTGGCCCGTTCTCCGTACTCATTCTGATTCGCTGCTTTTTGTCCGCATTCTGATTGGACGAGAAAATTAACCGTTCCCGAGTTCAAACTGGGCGCCAAAATGTCCATCCTCACAGATTATAGAGACAGAACTAGATCTGCTTTTATATAACTGGTATTATTGGTGTTCTACCCGCTGCAGCGATTCATTAAACTATTCCACGAACAGGGAGGAGGGAGACCAAAGCGGACTCCCTGACATATCATCAGTCCCACTCCTGCGTGTTTGTAGATTTGTGTCAGTGGGCGTTTATTAAGGTCCGGTCACTCTGTTTATGGCTCTTACAGCTTTGCGTTTCAACATGAAGTGACTCCTTACAATAGGCCGCTAGATGGCGACATTGCATTAAATATGCCATTGGAATAGACGGTTGCTTGGGTGAATGTATTTTTATTACAAGTCTCCAAACTGAGACGGGGAGCATCTAATCCCTTTCAGGACACCGTCACAGATTGCAATGGCACCAACGGCTACAACTTGATAGATACTCCTAAATCTGTATTGTAGGCAGTGGATGTGTTTACAAAACCAAACCTATTTTGTACTGGCAGCGATAATTGAACAATCTAAAGTGGAACGTCCGAGCATTCCATTCCCAATCTAACGAATACCCTACATACAGCGTGTAAAAGCCAATAAACACATAACCCGATTCCCTGTGCTCATAGCTCTGAAAGGACAAGTTGGTGGCTCTTAGAAGAGCCTTTGGGATTAAAAAAAAAAAAAAAACACGAACTTATTTCTTCTTGGGAGCTGCCTTTTTAGCTTTTGCTGGACTCTTGGCGGTTTTTGGCTTGGCTGCCTTTTTAGCCGGGCTCTTCACTGCCTTCTTGGGCTTGGCGGCTTTGACTTTCTTGGGGCTCTTGGTGGCTTTTTTAGCCGAGACGGCAGGCTTCTTGGCCTTCTTCGGGCTCTTTGCGACCACCTTCTTAGCTTTAGCCGGAGACTTGGTGGCTTTCTTTGGAGCGGGCTTCTTTACTTTAGCCGGTGCCTTCTTGGGCTTAGCAGCCTTGTCCTTGCTCTCCGCCTGCTTCTTGTTGAGCTTGAAAGAGCCAGAGGCTCCGCTCCCTTTGACCTGGACGAGAGTCTCTTTAGTCACCAAGCCCTTGAGAGCCAGCTTGAGGCGGCTGTTATTCTTCTCCACATTGTAACCAGCGGCGGTCAAAGACTTCTTCAGGGCTGCCAGGGACACCCCGCTGCGCTCTTTAGAGGCGGACACAGCTTTAACAATGAGCTCGGACACGCTGGGACCGGACGGCTTGGCGACTTTCTTGGCGCTGGATGTCTTCTTAGGCTGCTTCTTCTTGGAATCGATTTCAACTGCAGGTGCGGCAGCGGGAGCAGTTTCAGCCATTTCGCTATTTCTCTGAAATCAGACGGTAATAAGAATTAAACCTTGGCCTGTGCCAGTCTCTCTTATATAGCTCAAGCTGACACCCGATTGGCTGTTCAGCACCATTTCTGATTGGCTCAAACCGACAGACGCAGCTCCCCGCACTCTCTCCCATCTCCTGCTTCACGTCGCTCTCTGCTCTGGCTCTGTGTTTCCTGCTCTGTAAAACTTATGTTTTATGTTAAATGTGGCCACTAAAATCGGCGCATTTTCCCCTGAAATGCACGAAGACACCTCATTTGACCTTCCATAGGAATTGCTTGGCTGCTGCCTGCTAAGAGAACACAATTCACTCAGTGAAAGTTTGTAGAAACCAAATGGAGTCAGCTCGATTCATTTCAGACCTCTGACTTTATATACATTTAAAATACAATACGGTAAATGTTTTACCGCTCAATGTCATGCAAGATAAAGAAGACCCCTCTGAGGATGTAATATGAGGATTAAAGTGTTAAGAAGACCAGAGCAGGATAATGTGTTTCTCTTACTCTTTCACACAGTTAACACAGGCAGCAGTGATTCTTGCTGGTGCTATCTCCTACTACCTTCATACATATTTAGTTGTCTGTTCCAGTTGTGAATAATCAATTACATTTGTATGTCTATTAAATAACATTAATCGTGTTCATCAGTTGTAATACATTTGATTGTTTGAATGGTTTCAACCCAGTGATATAAAATAAGTAACAGGGAGCAGTGTAGCTGAAAGAGGACAGACAGCAACAATCTGTCTCTTGCCTTTTATTATAAGGAGGCCAGTAATAAGCCCCAAACCCAAAGTGTTACTATTTAACAATTATTATTTTTTGGTTAGCCATTGCTTCTTTCGAATTAAACATCACTCCTTATCTCTCTTTTTATCAATCTCTTGAGCTTTTCACCTTGGACAGATTTATTTTTTTGTCTTATGATTGTATATGCTAATTTGTTTAATCTCAGATGGTCAGCTACTTGTCTCTTCTCTGTAAACTTCATACACATTCAGTCCCCCCATTAGATTTGTAGCTTCCATA